TTAGCCTGCCATCACTAATACTAAATCAATATGTCTATTGATGTGTTGGAGACTTACCTCCTGGTGTTGGTGAGTTAACCCTTAGGCTTTGAGTTGTGCTTGGTGTTCTATCCTCTGCTCCATCCTCTATTCTCGTGGTGGTGTTCGCTCCCGGTCGTTCCTCCACAGGCCCGGCTTTGGCCTCAGAAAAACCCAGGTCTGGTGAATTCTGAGTTTCGGTGACCGTGGCCTCTTTAGTTCCAATGTCGGTGCTTACGGTCGAGGCCAGCCGTCTTGTGGTGACCCTGGTTTGAGGGGACGTGGGTGGGGTGCCAGAGTCAAAGGGTTGTCTGGTCAGTGTGGTCTCCACCTGTGTTGGATTGATGGTGATCCTTGGTGGAGTTGTGACCAGGGTTGTGGGGACTGTGGTTTGTGGGGACGTCAGGAGTGGGACAGAGGTTGTGAGAGGGTCACTCTTGGAAACTAGTTCATCTTGGATCTTTGTTTCCTTGGGGAAAGGTTTAGTGGTGACACTCCAACTGTCCTTTGGTATTTGGGCCGTTTCTGGTGACATGTGTGTGTGTGTTATTGTCTGTGGCAGTGTGTTTGTGCTGGTGAGACTATCGGAGAATATATCAACGCCCTGTGACATAGAAATAGAGGATATGGAATCTAAGACAGCGGTTATAGAATCTAAGATATCTTTGGTGTTTATTTGTGTGCTCTTGTTAGGAGTGACTGTCTGTGAGTTTGTTACCGTTCTTATCTCAGTCGAGGTGGGGTGATTTTCAGTCCAAGAGGTGATGGTGGAGGATTGAGGGGTTTTAGAAATACTCTCCACCCCAAACCCTGAACGTCCCTGTGAATTCTCAGGCTTCATTCGTCCCTCTGTTGGTCTCTCTGTTGGTCTCTCTGTTGGGTTGTCCATCCTTCTCTTGGGCTTAATCAGTCCCTTTGACGGTCCCTTTGTTGGTCCCTCTGTTGGTGTGGTCCTTTGGGGCCCTTCATTCTTAATCTGTGACTTCCCTCCCCACAGGTTGAGCGAAGAAAACGGAATCGACGGCGCCGCCGGGAGTGATGGGAACATGGACAAGCTGGGCTGCTTTGGCAAGGACCAGCTCATCCCCAAGCCTGTGACTGGCCAATAGGACCATCCCTTACTGGCAGGCGGTCCTGTCGGCTTCGTAAGATCCTCCTCTTTGTCCGCAAACACCGTCGTGTGGAGAAGAATGGCGAGGAGAGAGCACCTTAAGCACAAAGCCATCATCCGGCGAAGACGAAGCATGTTGCCGACAGTGAAGCGGAGCGGTTAGTTAGGCACCGATCACATACTGTCCTCCATTCTCCGAGCCCCCTAGGGCACGTTGGCTCGCTCTCCTGTGAAGTGACCTAAAAGACAGACGCACACAGGACATTGAGTGACATACTTTCACTTTGTCACAGTACAGTTAGTTTGACTTGATACAAGGATATGTGTCGTTGACCCGATATGTCGCTGCTGGATTGTTTTTGTTGTAGAGGTTATTTTTTAGGGGAGTTTTCTGCTCTGTTTCTTTTAGTGCTTGACCTGATTTTTGTCTGTTTTTCCAGAGAATATATTATATCACATGTTGATGAAACTGTGCCACCCATAATAAAGCATGGCAGCCATTCAAATGGACTGCTGAAGTTAGCAGGCTGGAAAAATTGCCACAAGAACGACGGTATTATTGGACACATATACTTAGTGGTTTCATATTCTGCGGTCAGTATTTGTGTTAGGAAGTTATGTGTTATTCATATGTATACTGGGTATGTGTCTTGGGACAACCAAACGTGAAATATACTGCTGACCAATCACAAAAGAGACTAACTGACCAGTTGTCATGTATTTTCTCAGCACTTTAGTTAGTGCTAACTTTTACATAATGGGAGTGACTCTGTGTGTGTGTGTGCGAGAGAGTGTGTGTGTGGGGGGAGAGTAAGGGCCTCCGTCCTCTGTATAGAAATGGAAGGGGAACTCTTTTCTTGGAGGGGAGGAACGGGTGGTTGAAAGTCTTTGCCCAGTTTCCTCAGTGAAGAGATTGGAGCACCGATGGAATTTTCCATTGAGAACAACCTGTGTGCTTTAGTTGTGTTTGAACCCCCACCTCCCTCCAACTCTCCCCTGCTTTCTTTCATTCCCAGTTTGATTTGTTCTTTAAAACAAGGAGAAACCCTCTGTTTAAGTGAGAGTGTGTTTTCCGGTAATGAGAAAATTCTCTCTCTCTCTCTCTCTCTCTCTCTCTCTCTCTCCTCTCTCTCTCTCTCCCTCTCTCTCTCTCCTATCCCTCTCTCTCTCCTCTCCTCTCCTGTCCTCCTCTCCTCTCCTCTCAAGTCTCCTCATACCTCTTCTCTCCGTCTCTCTCTCGTTCCTCGTCTCTCTCCTCTCTCTCTCTCTCTCCTGCCTCTCTCTCGAGCTCTCAATCTCCTCTGCTCCTCTCCTCTCCTCTCTCTCTCCGTCCTCTAGCATCTCTCTCTCTTAGTCTCCTCTTTCATTCTGTCTCTCTCAGACTCACATCTCTGCTCATCTGCTCTTCTAAAATAACCTCTTTTTCTTCTTCTTCTCGTGCTCTCCTTCTCTAACTCTTCTTCTTCTAACCTGCTTTTATCTATCCTCTACTCGTCTTCTCTCTCTCTCTCTCTCTCTCTCTCCTCCCCTCTGCTTCTCTCTCTCCCTCCCTCCTCCCTCCCTCCCTCCCTCCCTCCCTCCAAAGC